ATTAGTTTATATTTTTTATTCATAATAAATTATCATATGCTAAATATATTATATATCACATAACAAATGTATACATCATGCAAATACATGTGTTTATATATATAATTGGTGGGAATGTGTTTGTCTTAGTATATCTAATTTTGTACTTATGTATTGAGTATTTTTAAGATTTATAATTTTAAATTAAATTTTTTAGATTTATGACTTTTTGATATTAATGGAAGCAAGTGTCGTGCCTGAATGGTTAGGTTGCTCCCTGTGTCTGAGAGTTTGTGTTCAAGTCATCTACCCTCCCCTCTAATCATTAACCACTAAAATTCTTGCCATGAAAAAAATAAAATAGAAATGAAAAAAATAAAAAATTTAAATAATATTATATACATTTTGTAACAAATATGTTGTATTACTAAACACAATTATTGTTTTATATTTTCAAATTTGTGGCAACAATAAGTGTTAATAAATATCATTTCTGTTTTCTATTTTCACTCAAGAAAACAAAATCATGTTTCTACTTTCTTAAGACTACAAAAATAGAAAACGAAAATGTTACTAAACGCACTCCTATATTACAAAGGATATATGAAACACTTAAGTGTGACCTATATATTATACAATAACAACAAATCAAAAGTCTTGTGATTTAATGGTATTTTTTATATATTTTAAAATGGATGGTGAGACTTTGAGTCTTCAAAAAAGTAAAGTGGGTATATAAATTTCTTGTCAATATAAAAAAAAAATTACAATAACAACAGTGTAAACATTAAATTTTTGGTAAGATTCGAAATTAAATGTTATACAAGTATCATGAAATTACCATCTGAAAAAAGAGTCTTTTAAATATTATGATTGGTTGATTGGTTTAATCCAATAGTTTCATTTTCAGAAAATTGTATTAATGAACATTTTTGACAATAAATTTTCTCCGGGATATATATATGTACACATTTCTTCACCTGTTCCTTAATTCCCATCAAATCCGATTTTGGAATTCATATCATTCAAGGTATATATATATATATATTTGGCAACTATGGCAGGGGAACAGGGTTAACGGAAGGGAATGGTGCAAGGTTCCGACATTGGTTTTTGAATATAGAGAATAATCTAACTACTTAGGCAATACGATACTTACATTTTCATATGTTATCCAATGTGTAAATGAATTAGAAACAAAATATTCCCAAACTCCTTATATAAATAATTTTTTATGATACCTCCTTGGTTCAGATAAGAAATAAAGTCAAATTATTCGTGGGAAAGAAACCATAATTATGAACAAAAATTCTAAAACATATGAAAATCGATAATTATTTTTACTTAAGTTTTTTTTTTTTTTTTCTAAATATTTTTACTTAAGTTTAATGAATCAACATGTACTTATGCGCGAAATAAGTGGATTATACTGACTTATATTAAAGCACTTTTTAAAAATATGGAAGAATAATGAAACACTAAATTGTAATAATTATATTGATGAAATACCCCAACCTCCTATCATGTTTGTTGAAATATCTTTTAGCTAAAATTATTATCAAAATCACCTTTGAGCTTCTTTAAAGTTTGTCCAAATTTCTCTAACAACTCTTACCGTTAACCAATGGAATCTTTTTTAAATACCCAAGCTATCCATAAGTGAGAGAAAATGACTCAAATGATCTCTTAGAATACCAATGACCATTTAAAAAAAATTAATTAAACAAAATTATCATTTCTTATATATATCATTTTTTTTATTGGGTTTTGCAGAGTTGAAAACAACTTTTTGTGTGTAGTTGCAGACAATTTTTTTTTTTATTTAACAAATGCTTTATTGATTAATCGAATGATGAATTACTATTAGCCAATATCTATTTTGTTGAATACTTTGCTTTGACAACAAATATATTGAATTGTATACAAAAATGATTATTTGGTTTTCTAACAAAGACAGTTGAGTAATTTTCTTTCACGTAGTAGTAGTTTTGACATTTATAAAATGTTCCATCAAACAAACTTAACTTTGACTAATGTCGGGTGATCATAGAAATTTGGACAAATTTTAAAGAAGTGTTAGGAACTATTTTGATAATAATTTCAATTGAGAGATATTTAGATATCTATATTTCATTGTAATTATTATTATTTTTTTCAATACATATATCAACCCCATAATATATACATTATTTAAGTCAGTAATGTGATTCGAAAGCATAATTTTAAAGACTTATCTTTCGAATTATTGCCTATACTGCCATCCTTGTGAAGACCACCATAATCATGTTACTACACTCATTGTTTTGTTTCTAACATCATTAATAGTGTTAAGTTACTTGACAATACCAATACTAATAAGTAATTTCACAGAGTTATATAAACACATTCAATGATTATTTGACCTGATGGTATATTATATAACCAATAATTTGTTACCGACATTACCACCCTTTATAATCAAATGTGAAGAGAATCAAGAGAGAAATAATATTTAAACAAAAAAAAAAAAAAAAGTTTAATTCAAAAAGTAACTTTTATTCATGAATTGTGCAGGGCAATTGGTGGCGAGTTGTGGGACGTATCACATTGTAGGTCCCACTCAAAAGTGGGGGCACAAATGATGGGACACACACCATCAGGGGCAACGCTCTACGAAAAAAGACAGGCGTGGTGCATTCCTGCTGTAACACGTGTCCTCCCACTATGTAGCCCCCACGTGTTCGCACGAGCATTGGATTGGTCCCCTCAAAATGAGTGAAAAAAAGACGAGATGCTTTTGTCTCATAAAAGAAGTGGGCCCACCCTCTCTCTCTCTCTCTACATTATTGTCAAAATACTGGGTGCCACAGCCTATCCCAGATCACAACGCGTACCTTTGAAAATATATGGAAAAGAGCGGGGACCACGTGATCATCACTCACGTTAATCTCTCTCTCTCGCTCGCCATCACGTGATTAAACCTAACCCTATTTGGAAGGAAGAGTCTGTCTGACCAGGCTCTTTTAATTGAGGCATCAATCAGCCATTGATTCATTGGAGATTAGTTAGACTTTTTGCTAATCTAATCTTAATTTTAGCTTTGTTCTTTATTTGCACTTTTATCAAGTCCATCACGTGTAATAGAGAGTGAACTTAGTTTCATATGTCTGGGAAGAAATTATTACATAGCATATGTCATTTGAATGTATTTTCGATACATTTGTTAGCAGGTCAAACGATGATTTATCAGGTTTAATTATTCCAAAAATTATTTAATAAATTTTCAATATATGTTCACAAATGAACCATTGTGCAAAAGAGAAATGATTTTTAAACTTAAAATAATGAAATCTGAAATTATCGATAAGATTCATGTACGTTGGATTCCACTTGCTATATCTTATTAATTATTATTATGTGTCATAGATTTCAATGCAAATTCTCAACAAAAACAGTACAACTCTTTGTTAAAATCAATATGATAATCAAAATAATTATTCCAAGACAAAATTCAAAATTCACTTTGCAAAAGTAAATTTGTGGAGAATAAACTAGTGGCCTAGTTGCTTTTTACGCTGTAAGTACTAGGTAGACTAAAATTTTAATTTGAATAGGAATTTCAAACTTATATAAATAAATATTATTAAACTCCTGGTAGGAGCGCAGAGGCATAGAGGATATTGGGGCCACCATAATTATAAAGGGCGCATTTGCAGCAGGGAATAGAGCTGTCCTTGGGGGGCAGCAAAGGGACGCGTGATCACATGGGATTGGTGTGGTACTGCACTCACACTCTGGCCAACTCTAATCTGCTATTTCTGTTTATGCCTATCACACACTCTCCTGCCTAAACTTATGAGAAGGACTATTCAGTTAGTTACACTGTACTCTTTCTATCCAAATTTGGTTTCTTTTCTGTTGGAAACTATATATGCATCGAACCCTTTTTAAATTTGATATTCAATTATACATTGATTATATTTTTTTATTTTAAAACATAGATTTCATGCTACAAATATATTGGTTTGAATAGTTTTCTAGTAGTTAATTTATCATCTCTTGCCAAATTCTGAAGCTCAAAATCATTATTTTCTTTTGAATTTAGTTGGAAATAAAATAATTATATATTAGTATTTATTTTTTTATTTTTTTTACCTAACAATGATTAAAGAATTAATAGTTAGTGAGGGTTAAAGGAGGAAATGATTCGAACTAGGGACATATGATGAGAGGCACTTAAGACTTGGCCTTTAACCAATTAAGCAATATCGTCACACCTAATTATATATTAATATATAAAAATTGTTATATCAATGCATATACAAACAATTTTATATCAATATATACTCACATGTGTATATCAATTCTATATGTATGTGCGCATTTTATATATTACTCCTACGTCTTTTTTTTAAAACAAATGAAGGATTAATCTATACCCTCTTCCCACCTTGAACTCTTTTGAATGATTTTACAAACTCCAAATGTATGCAGTTGATGCAAACAAACTCATGTATCACCTTGAATGAGACTCAAACCAAACATGGAGTAATCCACAGAATTACCAACCAAGCTGGCCATTTAAGCACACATTCTTATTCTTTGTGCACACAAAAAATTTGAACTTTTTTTTTAATCATTTTAATTTTCTATAATTTTATTACATCATTTTTTTTTTGAAAAAATAAAGAATATTTAAATACAGTAAATATATTTTGTGATATCAAGTCCTGGTAGCCTAATTGTACTTCTTCACTTTCTAAAGTAAAAAATAAAATTTTTTTTTTATATGTATATATATATATATTTAGTGATGAATATTTGCTTTAAGCCTTAAAATAAATAATAAAAAAAGTAAAACAGATTATTCAGTAAACTAATTGCTACATTATTTAACTTTTCTAAAGATTGTGCATTATTTAGTGACTTATTATTAATTGGTAAAATAGCTTCCTTAGCTTGTGTGGCTGTATTCGGAAAAGAAAAGTTGGTATAATGAGTGCGTTTGCTTTAAGTTCATGTGAAAAGAAAGAATAAAAAACTAAAAAAACAAATATTAAATTTTTTTATTTTTGTTTTACAGAAAGAAAATAAAAAATAATATGTAATAACATAAGATGATGAAAACTTGTGAAGCAACTAAAAGCCCCCTCCTAACAGTGAGAACGGATAAGGCGGTGGACTCTCATCCGCCCCAGCTCCTAAACCTCCTAAGTAACCCATCTCGCTACCGCTACTGTCGTACCCGGATACATCCTTCATGGGCTGCGACGCCGTGGTAAAACCATTTATTCCGGCGGCAGAAGCTGTCGATGTCCGCCTCGGAATGGCTGTACAATAATTAGGTTCTTGGATGATTAGAGGCCGACCGATGACTTGTCTTTGACTGAACCACGCGACAGAGGACGTCTCGGGCGATGCCGATGACCAGCAAAACCCGTCGAGGTCAAAATCCGTCTCCGATGAAGAAGTTGACGGAATTACCCCTGCGGTAGTGTTCTCATCTCCCTCTTCACTCTTGACCGAATCTGATACCGCCGCTCCTGATGAAGAAGAAGGGGGTGATATCAGGAGACGTCTCTTCTTCTCAGCCAATTTTGTAGTCCTCTGTTTCTCAAGCATCATACGGGGCACAATCTCTGGGTCTTCAACAACTTTATAAAGAAACTCCATCATTTGTTGTGGGCGCCTCTCCGTTGCCTCTAACCTCTTGTTCATGCCTTCAAGCTCTTGCTCTAAATCTCTCTGTTCTTGCTTCAACCTTGTTATCTCCATCAATATCTCCTCATCATCACCTTCCTCATACTTATAATTACTATTCCGACTATGTTTTTTCCTCACAATATTCTTCAGTAATTGCTTTTGCCCCCGCAGAAACCACTCGGTCGCAAACTCCCATCTATCTGGATCCACCTTTTTAAACCCCTGATACATAATCAAACAAACACAGTTCAAATTACATAATTCATTTATCTATCTATATATATATATATCATATATGTGTGTGTGATTACTTACATATGTGTTGAGCTGACGGACAAAGCTGGAGAAATTGTTGTGTTTGAAGTAGATAGGTAGAATTCTGTGAGAGAAATCTAAGGGGTCGATGACGATGAAGCTGTTGTTGGCTAGACCCCATGTGATGAGGCCGTCGGTCATGGGATCGCTGACCATCTGATAAGTCTTCATAACGAACGGTGCGATTAGGGGGGTGTTGGGTTCCATCCCCACTGTGTGGCCCGACAAACTCCGTTTTGTGCTTTTGTATTTGTGGATGGGATAAATAGATAGATATATAGATAGATGGATGGATGGATTCAGTTGGTATGTATTGTTGAGGAGGGAGCACCGTAATATATAAGAGAGAGTCAACTACAGTATCAAGTGCTAACGTGGCAGTCGTCGTTACTGCTAACTCTGGGGGGTGACATGGTTGGTCCCACATGCCTTCGCTTTTATCTTTCTTCTCACACACGTCAGCTTAGATATTTTTCAAGGTGGCGATGCTCTCTCACGCTCCGACAATGAGTGTGTTTCTGTTTTAATTCAAAACCAAAGCCCATCCATACCACGTGTTTTCTACTTTACACTTTACATCCTTCCTTTGCATACACCAATAATTTTTCATTCAATCCAATTTATATCAAGACGCCAACCCTTTTTTTACTGACAAGAAATTCAAGTTATAATGGAGAAACTAAAATTTATAATTAAAAAGTATACATATATCCACTGGCGTAGCACGTAGGGGCAACTGCCCCACTGAATTTTTAATTTTTTTAGTTTTTTTTTTAAATTTTATATAGAAAGATTTTTATATTTGTATAATTGTCCCCACTAAAAATTGACTTGCACATAATCTTTTCAAAAAAGGAATATAATCTTTTAAAAAAATATGATATTAAAGAAATATAATATTTTCAAAAAATATCTTAAAATATTATATTCTTTCACACTTTCTTCAGCAATACAAGATATTTTTTCTAACTTTTGACTTACCACAAACAAATGCGTTGTTAATTTTCAGAATATGAAAAATATTTTGAAATATTTAGTACTGTTTAATTTTTACATATATTATTTTGGTTCAAATAATATATATATATATATATATATATATATATATTATTGCTGTTAAAAATTGCTCCCAAGAAAATTTCTGGCTCCGCCACTACATATATCGTTAAATAGTTTGAACTCAACCTCATGAGAAATTACTTTAAAAAAATATGGGAAAAAAATAATGAAAAATTAACAATATTTTTGACCTCACTAAATAAACTAGACACAATAAAAACAACTTATAACTTATGTTAAAAATCAGTGTATTCACAAATAGATTTTTCATGTGATCAAATTTGGTAGAATTTGTGAGAATGAAACTGAATTTCTTTAGTTACTAAATTTGATCATGAACTTGAATTTGAGTTTAATCGTGAAATTATAGACTTATATCTTATTTTGACTCAAACCTAGAACTAGAATATAACTAATCAGATTCAAACTCGTGAGTCGTGCCTCTATCAGATAGATGCTCAACTCGATTAGGCTCAACTGGATAAAAAAACTTGGTCGTGCAGAGCCATTTGCTATAATCGCCATAAAAAACACGAGCCATTGGTGGGGCATGGTACAGTACTTTGGAGTCAATATATATATATATATATATATAGATAGGGGGTGGTAAAAATTAAATGAGGAAACAGTGGGGTAAGATTCAGTTGTTTGGAGGAATTCGATTTGATTTTGGCTTTTCCAAGTGTTACTCTCTCGTGCGTTGGCACATAAAGTAACTTTGATACGTGGTTTCATGTGGTTTGGACACGAGTAACGCTGACCACTTTAAAACGGGCTTTTGAATGGGGTGTTTGGACCCTGGGAAACATATTTTTATATTCCAAATCTGTGCTTGTCCACGCATTCAAATGCTTTCTTATTATTGGACCATGTTTTCTTTTGACAAAATTATTATTGGACGATGTTAGCTCATCATCATTTATTTATTCATTTTTATTTTTCTAGTAAGCCTGTTGGTTGCTTAATTGATTTTCACTCAGTAATCCTTTATTTATTTATTTTTATCTTTTTTCTAAAGTGATCAAACCTAAGAAATCCTAAATTAATCCAAAGCAAAAGTTGAAACGTAAGTGGCACAAATAATGATCTGGGATCAATTGCATAACATGTTGGAATTTCGCTCACTAATTAGCTATTTCTGTTCTTATTATAGTAATTAAGATGATGAAATATCCATTTGATGGATTTATTATTATATTTTTTCCGAATGGATATATTGACTCAGATGGGTTATAAACAGCACCTGGTATTAAATATAGAATTTACAATTTACTATATATAGTAGTTGCTATTATACTACTACGGCTGACGCATTGGACAGCAATCATTTATCAATATTTTAGCCGGATAGTTGTTGTAGTGTTTGATATATATATTCTCTCTCATCCATGCTAAATCTATGTTAGCGAAGTGTTATATTATCTTTCTTCCAAATTAAATACTACATACATTTTGGCCTTGTTTTTGTGTGTGTGTGTGTGGCCAAGACACTTCTTTGTGTAGCAACAGAGTCTCTGATTGGTAATGGTTGTTGGTTCAGCATTCAGCAATATTTAGTTGTGAATTTGTGATTCATTTTCTCAAGGTCTAAGTTTGATGAACTGAAGATCTTGACGACAAAGATTACGAAAAATAAACAAGATGGTCCACTATATATTTTTTTAAAATAAAAAAATCAATTTGCTTGCTCCATGTGCATGACCCATTAATTAATTAATAACAACGTCTACGTGACACTGGTTTGAACTAAATTTATTTGATTAATTATTTTTTAGTATTCTAATCTGGTGATTTTTGATTTGGTATACCAAACTGTAACATAAAATTCTGATAAATAAATAGAATATTTATAATTATTTTGCACTAAATTAGGTCTCTATAAACTCGAACAAAAAGTACAAAATAAGGCTTCTTCAACTCCAACCAATATCTTGGAACTTTTATTATTCCACCAAACATTACCCCCTTAATATAATCATTATTTTAAATTGATCGAAGTGAGTGGCGTAAAATAAGTTATTGATCGAAGTGAGTGATGCATTCCATTGCTGGCATGGATTTGGAGTATATAAAATAAAGATTATAAAGTAGACAGTATTAAAATGAATTTATAATACACTAATGCTTTATTAAGAATTTAAGATCAAAGTGGAATTGGTATCTTCAAAGACACTACTCATCCCAAAGACATTAAGAGATTCTCCAATTTTTAGAATGCTACTTCATTGCTTTGTTTGAATTCTTGTCATTGGAGGAGGTCAACTAACTACCAACTATGTGAACCCAAAAAAGGTATTATATGCGCAAAAAGGTTCTGCAAGAGCACACTTTGTTAGTCCACTTCTACCACTTTTTTTAATTGACAATAGAGTATTGTATACTCGTATATACATGGTTAAATGGCTTTTTAAGAAAAAGTCCACAATGATATGGCTTTAATATTCACTACCATTGGGCTTTTGGACAGACACATTCCAAGTGATTAAGTGGACAGGAATAATACACAAGTATGATTATGATTGAAGGATGGGATTGTCAAACACTGATATATGGACCCACATTAAAACACCGGGTGGCATAATTATTGAACAGTGAGGACCAACCAAATATTAGTAGCATGATGATTGTTAGACGAGTGGGGGTAATTTGTACTGTATAATTGAATTGAAGATGACACATCATCGGCAACGATCTCAGTGCCAGATTGAGTAAGTCCATATTGATCTGTTGTCAACTATGCCGCCACTATTGTCCACTTTTGTGCTAGCACAAAAGGCCCTTGTCCTGTTTTTCATCGTTTGTTTTGTGTCAATTACCAACTTATTCATTTCGGAGGCACAAAAGGTCAAGTTATAAGCTTAAACCATAAAGGAATGAAATGGTTGGCTAAATTTCTTAACTTTAACAAAGGAGAGGTACAAAATTCATTTCTTCTTCCTTCAATTCTAATCTTACAAAATATTTTTTTTCAATTAATAATGGCACATGACATTGAGAATTGTCAAGCATTTGGAGAAATAGTCTAGCGTTAGAGCAGACCAACGACGGAGTCAGGATGTAAGGTAAGGGAGGACAAAAATAAATTTTTGGAGGCAATAGTGTATTTTTTAAATAATTTTAAGAGGGACAAATATAATATTTTATGTGTATATTACTAAAAATGAACAAATTATAAGGGTAGAATACTAAAATATATATATATCTGCCGGGGCAATTGCCCCCACTACCTTCAATTCTTCAAGTAGTTATTTCATTTTTTTTTTGTTTAAAGATAGAAAAATCTTTCACATGTTTGACTATGTTTGATGTTTTAAAACTCTATCTCAATCACCGTGCTTTTAATTAGGGCTAATTCCATGACTCACCATGCATATTTTTTTCCTAAGCATGTACTCCGTATATGTTTTGATGAATGAATGGGTTTTGTATGAGCAAATAAGAAATATATGACTGTCAATCTTACATAAACTAAGAAGAGGAGGAAGAGTTAAAGGGGTGTAAAAGTCCATATGTTTTGATCTGTTTATTTAATTAATTATAAAAAATATTATTAAAAAAAAAAAACCTCTCAACTAACAAATGCTTGGATTTTGAATTATTATAAATTTATAACAAGAGCATGCGTGTCTTTCCAAACAAAAAAAAAATAAATAAATTATGGAAAAAAGAACAATAAGAAGATAATGGTAATGAGGAAGGCCCACGTGATTAGATTGGAGAATAGATATTTATAATGGCTAAGGAAAGTCCAACGTCAATGTTGAGATGGCCGAGTTGGTCTAAGGCGCCAGATTAAGGTTCTGGTCCGAAAGGGCGTGGGTTCAAATCCCACTCTCAACATTTCCCTTTTTCCAAATCGGACGGTTGACATTCCTCCATCATATAACGCCTATCAAATTCAATTTTTTTTTTACTTTTTTTGTCACTTTCTAAATCGGACGGATGAGATTCCTCCATCATATCAGACCCTTTTTTTTCCAACGGTAGAGATTCCTCCATCAAATCTGGCCTATCACATTCTATTTTTTTGCCCCCTTTTGTTTTTTCCTCTTTCTAAATCGTACGGTAAAGATGTCTCCATCATATTTGAAATCACATTCAAAATTTTCAACATTCACTGACCCCGCGCTCGCTCCCTCTCCCTTCCCAAGTTGAAACCCAGACGAAGAAAACCCTAAAAATCAGAGCAATTTGCTGAGGGAGATCAATCAATCAAGCGACGAAATGGCTCAAGCCGCCAGACTCAGCCTTCGGATGCAGAAGGAGCTCAAGCTTCTCCTCTCCGACCCCCCTCCTGGCGCGTCCTTTCCACTTCTTTCCTCCTCCTCCTCTCTCTCATCCATTGATGCCTGTAAGTCCAAAATACATCCCCTATAGTTATCGATGTCAAATTTTAGTGATTGGTTCTGAATATATCGTTTGAATATCTTTCTTTTAGTGATTAAAGGCCCAGAAGGAACTGTTTATGCTGAAGGGTTCTTTAAGATAAAAATTCAAATACCTGAAAGGTGTGGTTTTGCTCACATATATACATTTGTCTTTATATCTATTCCTATGTTTCTACAGCTTCATTGATTTCTTTGGTTGTAAGTTGTGTTGATGAATTGATGGGTTTTTGTTGGATTATAATATTACATTACAGGTATCCATTTCAGCCTCCAATTGTGACCTTCGCTACTCCCATCTACCACCCCAATATCGACAATGGAGGCCGGATTTGCCTTGACATTCTCAACCTTCCCCCGAAGGTGAGTTATGTAAATTGCACAAGTTAATGCTTGGTTTGTGTGTGAACTTTTAACTGTCTGAGACTGTTTGTGGAATAAATAAAGAAATGTGATGATCGTTGCCTTTTTTCCATGTAATTGTGCAGAAACCTTCGAATTGATGAAATATTTCTGAAGAATTTGGGAGAATATAGATTTGATAAATTTTATGTGTCATTTTTCTTTTTTATTTATTGAAATTATGTTTATTGAAGGGTGTAAGAATAATGATGTTTTTTTGGAAGAAATAAAACTAACTTCCAAAATCTCTGCCTGAGGGTAATTGATTATTTCTTGAAGATGTCCTTACAGAGTAGCAAATTAATTCCAAAAATAGAAAAAAAGAAAAAGAAAAAGAAAAAAAGAAACAACTTGTTTTCATGTAGAAAAAAAATATATCATATTCATTTGTTTTAGAATTTTCAGTAAGGTATTAGCAGAGTTCTGCTCAAAGAGAGGAGCCCACATGTAAATAGGATCTCGTAGTGGAAATGTCAGAGTCAGTTCCCTTGGGCAAGAAATAGCTGAATCACGCCAAGTTGGTCACTTTAGAAATAGTTTCTTATGATTAGAAGATTGTTAGCAAAAGATATGAGAAAGAGCAGGCAATGTAAGAGTACTAAGAAGCAGAACTGACCTAGGCAGGTGATTAACTAACCCATTAACCTCTATAGGCTAATGGACATTTAAGTAGTTTGTTAATGTTCCTCATCAGCATATGCCCTGGTTTGAGATTAGACAGTGCGGAAACTTGAAGATGTCCTGCATTCCTACGTGTCTCGGATGTAGTAGTCAGTTGCTTGGAGTTCTCTTGCAACAAAAACACCTCATATCATAGCAAAACCCCTTATTCTACTTGTTTCCCTGGCCTACGTTTGTCATGATGTTGCTCCAAAATGCAAAACATGAGAAGTGTAAAACATGAAACTGAGACCCTTTATTACATTTATAACAAACCCCTAAAGTAGCCCAAGTTGGCAGACCCTAACCACAGTTGTTTTTGCTAATGTCACTTCTTTATTCCTGACAAGGCAGCCTAACCTTCTTCTGTGTCTGGGAACAATTATTCCATTTGAAATTGGGAAGGGAAAGCCAGAATCCTCCTGTGCACACTAACAGTGAAAAATAATTTCATAATCATTGTATGAATTATCAATATAATTTTATTTTGGACAAGTCATTGACTTGGTCAAATGTCAAAACTGATAGTAGCCATTCTTCAGCGTCCTTTTTTGCTACTGCTTGTGAACAACTGTGACTTCTTTCAAATATGCAAAACCAACTTATAGTCATCATACCTTCACGAAAGAGTTTGTTGTTGCTTGATTAGCTCCATGCACTACTATTGAACTTTGTGAAATTGTGAAATTTCCATGGATTATTGGCGGAGAAGTGAAGCTATCACCCAAGAATTAGTACAATAATAGAAGAATACTAGTCATGCATTTAATTAATTGCTGAAGCTTTCCAAGTTGTTCGCCTAGTTTTTACGGTTTCCTATAAAACCCATTGTTCTATCAATTTGATGAGGTGTGATTGTTATAACTTGTCAGTTACGCTCGTGTTGGTTCCTATTGAATTTTCTTTACAGCAAAAAGTTTATGAACAATCTCTGTTTCTGGTGTTGGAAAACGTGCTAATTTTAAAAACTTTTCGAGGAATTTTGATTTATAGATCTTGATTTATCATATAGAGACAAGTTTTATACAAAAATAAAATATGATGTATTATTCAATTAACAGATTGAATACTTACATCAAAGGTCTGAGTAAACCTTTAAAACTTTCCTCTAAAGTGAATATTCTCACTTATTGTAGATCCCTTAGCAAGATGCCTTTTCCTTGGATCTCTATCTTATTGGTAATTGTTTTGCCTTTAGGAATCACTCATATGCCTCCATAAATGACCTTGAAAAATTAGGTTTGTGGGAACCTCCATTAGATGAGAACATAAATCCTAATTTTCTAGAGAGAGAAAATATATTCCTTTTCTTTTCCTAAAAATCACACCTAAAATATAGGTAGACCATGTATATTTATAGGCAACATAAAGATAAAGAAAAGGAAATAACAAATCCTTCTCAATCTCTAATTCACATGTCTCAAATCTAATATGATTCCAATATCGAGTTCGGCTATGAGTGAGAGTTCATTTGGCCTATTATTTTATTGGCTACAATGAATTAATAATTGGCCCGGTCCATGGACCCAATTAAATTAATTCATAAATTAATTTCTACTCCACTAAAAGAAATTAATTGAACTCCAATTAAATAATAAATAACCTCTAAGTCAATATTGCACTTTGACCCCTCTATGCATAATTAGTTATCGGATAAATAAAGCCATCAATTCGACTACTTAATTAATATATTTATTTTGGTACCTTTGATTATTTCTGATTCGATCACAATAAAACATTTGTTTGACAAAAATAATAATTTAAATAAATAAATATATAATAAATCATTTTGTCAAAAAACACACTAAGGCCTTTGAATTTACATTGTGATTAACCATAATCAATACAAAATAAATACAAGTAGCAATGCTGCAAATATTGAAAATATAACCCTCTAACTATTAATTACATAACTACCCAAAGTGTCGGTTTAAGGATCCCGAAGAATCCGCCGAACAAATCAAAGTAATTATTAATTAATAAAAGAGTCTATACTTTTCTCATACTTAAGAGTCAAATGTCATGACGGTGATAGGGAGCAATTGCATACGACGGCTCTCGCAATATATCTCAACCTAACGCGAATCTAGTTCAAGTCTTAATTAATTATGATTCCATCCATAATTACCAACTACGAACAATTTATGATTACTATTTATATTCATGTATTGATCGCCATCACATACATATATAAATATCTCTTGTAATCAAGAGGACACTATCAATTCTATAATGAATCGAAACATAATACATTGAATTCACCAATTGTATAAAACATAAATATTTCAGAAACGTCAGGAACATATGTCACTTTAATCCAAATGGAAATTTGCTATGCCAGGGCATATAAATCCCATCAGCTCCCACTTGCCCTCATAGCCAATTCAAATTGCGTCTAACTTCAATGTTATCCTGGCGTTGATCAAAATTATTGATCAATGACACCTTTGTTAATAGATCAACAAAGTTGTGTTCCAATGTAATCTTCTAGCCACAAGTACATTTTCTTGCCGGACAATATCATGTAGAACATGATATTTCCTCTTAGTGTATTTTGTCCATCTATGGAACCTTGGGTCATTGGTTTGGACTACTTCTGCACTATTGTCGCAATATAGCTCGATAGGCAGGCTATTATGCTCCACAACCTCTAAATCAGTGAGATCAAACCAAAAAGCTTCCTTTGCCGCCTTTAAGGCTGCAATGTACTCTACCTTCAGGTTTGAGTCAGCAGTTTAAATCTGCTTAACAATCTACTAACTGATTTTCCTTCTATTGAGTGAATATACACCGAGTCATGAATCTCATAGTATCTACTTCTGATTGAAAATCAGAACTAGCGTACCTGACTAGTACCATATCATCAAATCCGTAAATGAGTATGAGATCGTTGGTTCTCTTAAGGTACTTAATGATATTTTTCACAACAGACCAGTTATCAAGTCCAGGATTGGACTGATATCTATTGACTATCCCTACAATGTAGCGGATGTCCTGTTTGGTATAGACTATGGCATATATGAGACTCCCATATACCAAACCATATAGTTCCAGTCTCATTCGCTCAATTTCCTCTGCTAGTCTTGGAAAACTACTTACTAGAGAGAGCAATCCATATCAATAAAGTAAGAACTCATTCTTTGAGTTATGCATACCAAACTTGGTCAAAATTTTATCAATGTAGGATTATTAAGATAAGCTTATTTTCCTTTTAACCTGATCTTGTAAAAGCTTGATTCTAGTAATATAGCTAACATTTTGAAAATCCTTCATTTAAAAGTAATTGAACAACTACCTCTTTATTGATGACAAAACTTCCACATCATTCTAAATGAGTAGGATGTCATCAATATATATAGAATCAGAAAAATAATGACATTCCCTTGTACACTCATGATTTATTCACTAAGAAATCTTCTGGAATCTTTTTGTAGATTAACTTGCCTTCTATAGGTATCATCCTACTATAAAGTTCTACAAAATTCCAGAATTTATTAGAATATATAGATTCCAACTCTGATTTCATAGTAACTCACCAAAACGATCTGTATCCATATCGGTTCACGCTTCCGTGTAACTTACTGGGTCCAACTCATGTTTAACAGGGATGTTCCAAACGGTCTCACCTAAAAACATAATTCTGTCGGATTGGATGATAATCCTCCCAATGTACCGATGCAGGAATCTGTGTACAAGATGATACAGACGCATCAATAGGGAATTCATCTATAATTCTAAATCTCTATAATAAGTGTGTTCATCTTGTGGTACAACTGGTACTAATACCATATTCTCTAACATTATGTTACCGGGTATGTTATTTACAATATGATCCTCCTATAGATAAACAATCAACTTTTATCATTGAGATCATAAAATAATCCATCCTAGTGACTTTAGAGTAGCTATCAAATCTAGCATGCTTATGATCTGCTTCCAACTTACTTGTCCATATTAAGCGCACATGTGCATGACTACCCCATATGTGCATGTGATTCAAACTAAGATTTAGTAAAAAACACAGCTCAACAGTATCCTTGAGACAGACTAAGATGGAATGCAATTCATAATGTACATTGATATCGTCAAAGCTAAACTCTAAAATGAAAGAAATAATGTAGCATAACAGATCATAGCTCTAACCATGTTAAGCGGAATTCTGTTATTCCTTTTTGACACCTAAATTCATTTAGCGTCAATTGCGGAAAACCTGGTACACCACACCCTCATTGACCATATAGTCTTTGCATTATCCCAAGAAATACTCATATCCACGATCAGATCGGATTGTTTTGATAAGT